GTGTGTGTGTGTGTGTGTGTGTGTGTGTCCCAGGGGAATAGGGCTGAGTAAGGGTTCAGGGTGTGCTAATGGGGTAGCACTGTGTTAGACCCAGTGTGTGCAAATAGGGGTCTGGGGGAAGTGAAGGTCCGGCTTGTGCTGGTGGGAGGACCTGAATATGCATTAATGATGGTCATAGCAGTGGATGTGGGCAAAGTCAGTCAAGGATCTACATGATTCACTTTGTGTTAGTGCAATTCAGGGCAGTGTGAAGGTCCAGTGTGTGCTAATGTGGGTCAGCTGTAAAAGGTCCCAAGTGCATGTTAATAGGGGACAGAATCATGTGGGGGAACACTGTGCTAATAGGGGGTGTGTGTGGATGCTGTGGAGAAGCCAACAGGCAACTGGGCCTAGGAGGAGGTCCAAGAATGTGGTGGTAAGAGTTAATGAGGAGTAGCCTGAGTGTATGCTAACACAGCACTCTGGGGCTTTGTGTGCTGATGGGGGCGAGCGAAAAATGGGCATTGCCGGTGCTGATAGCAGGTAAGATGTAGGGAATTTCCTTGAGGGGTAGTGTATATGGAAGGAAGCAGGACACTGGGGTGGGGGTCTAGGATGTGCTTATGAGGGTAAGACAGGATAAGGATGGTGTGTTCCTATGGGAAATAGTGGAGCGTGACGCTTTTGTCCTCAGTGGCCTGTGTGGTGTGAGGAATGGTGAGTGTCCTTGGGTGTGAGGGTATTTTGAGGACGGGTATATATACTAGGGGGTCAGGAAGGACATGTGCCCTTTGAGTGGAGTTGTATATCCAGGTTCTTGCTCCCTCTGCTTTTCTGAAATGTATAAAGCTCAGAAAGCTGAAATGATAACACTTAAAAGTTTTACTGCATATTAATAATGTCCGAGTGTTTCTGTTCATAGGGACTCACCAGGACTCCCCTACTAGGGGTGTTCCAGGATATACAGATTTTGTACTGCATCGTCTTAACGTTCCCCCCAAAAGTGAACTCTGGAACATGTCCAGCCCTTGAGGTTTTCAGTTAGAGGTCATGGCTCCTGGCTCCCTCCTCCTCCTCCATCCAGTCCTACTTAATTCCCCATTCCCTGCCATAACAGGCAAAGTAACTAAGTACCCACACTCTACGCAAGACAGTCTTTTGGGGGTTGACCTGACCTTCCTCAGCCTCCCGGCTCAGGATTTTTTGGTTGTTTCCACTGGATGGAACTCATTTTCTTTACTGAGGTCTTTCTGCCAGGCTGGTTCCTCTACTACTGGGGGTGGTGAGGTGGGCAGAGGGATGGGGTGGACCACCAGTCACCTGATTTCAGGGTAACAGATGACCCATTTCTCTCCTGGAATCCAGCCCCAGCCTCATCCTCTACCTCCTATCTAGGTCTACTTCCCTTGGGCCCAGGGCCATCTTAGCCCCTGCGGTGAGTCCAGATGGTTCCTGGGGCAGGTCTTTCCCCCTCCTTGCTGGCCCATAGCCCAGGAGGAAGCAGAAGGTAGCTAACCTAAACCTTTTGGTGGCCCTGTTCCCTCCAGCAGCCCCATCTAGGTCATTACTCTGCTTTTACCAGCGTCCCTGGGTACAGCTGGGGCTGTTCATGAGCAGTAAGGACTCACCACCCTTGCAGAGGTTGGTCTAGGCCCTCAACCCCCTGATTGATTAATTTCTGACATAAGCACTTTTTGAGAATCTACTCTGTGTCAGTCACTGTTCCAGGTCCTCAGGATATAGCCGTGACCTAAACACACAGAAATCTACCCTGGCGGAGCTGATCTTCTAGTTATGGCGGTGAGGAGACAGACAGTAAAGAATAAAGAAATGAATAAGTAGATGGTGTAATTTGTGAGGTGGCAATGAGTGTTGGGGGGGGATAATTGGTGAAAGAGCTCAGGATGGTTGAAATTTTAAATAGAGTTATTCATGGCGGCCTCATGAAAAAGAGGACAACCGAGTAATGGCCTGAAAGGGGTGAGGGAGGGGATTATTTAGAAATCTGGGGTCCTGGGAACAGCCAGTGCAGAGGCCTTGAGGTGGAACAGCTGGATGTGATTGCAGAACAGCAGCCTGCAATGATTCAGGGGGAGGTGAGCCAGAGAGGTAATAGGGATGAATGGGCCACATTGAGAGCTGGGACATTTATTTGGGGGGTTAAAAAGGGGATGTGGTACATGCTCAGGTAGAGGAGAGATGTGACTTGGCTTGTCAAAATCTGGGTGGGGCCTTGTGGGTCCCAACCTGATTGATCAGTTTCAACAGCAGAAGCCCTGAGGACAGCTAATGTGCATTGAGATCCCCCCCACAGTCCCACCCAGTGGTTGAGTCTGAGCAGGATTCCCCTCTTCTCTGCACCCCTCATCTCCATAGACCAGTGGGGTAGTCCATTAGTCACCATGACGATGGTTGCCAGGGGAAGCGAGAGCATCTTTGAGACTGTGAGGAGCATTCTGCCTTGGCAGTTGGGGGTGATGTGGGGCTGGTGGCAGCGGAACATGCCATTTTATGGGCGTGCCCGGGGCCGTCTCAGTGGTCTGACGGTTCTGGGCGAGCCTCTGGCTCCATCTGTGGCTGCGTCCATCACTACTGCTGCACAGGAGAGTGTCTGCTGTGGAGCCCTCTGCTCCTACAGTGATGCTGCCACCATAGGGACCAATACTACATCAGTTGGGCCCTTGCCCTCGGCCAGCCACCCAAGCCTCAGTACTCAGGTGGGCCACTTAGAAACAGGGTCCCTGGGCTGGTTGTAGATGGGAAGGTACTTATAAGGGTCCCCCTCCATGCTAGGTTTCCAGGAATCCTGAGTGGTTCCAGGGCTCTACAGTGGGTGGGTGGATAATGACACAAGTTCATGTCAGTATACCTAACTAGGTTGTCATGGGTTATAGGTGGCTAGGGAAGGTAGTCACGCAAATGCTGATGTGGGACCCATTCCCATCCATGTCCCTTGCTCAGGTCGCCATGGATCGGATGAAGAAGATCAAACGGCAGCTGTCAATGACACTCCGAGGGGGCCGAGGTGTAGACAAGACCAATGGTGCCCCTGAACAGATAGGACTGGATGAGAGTGGTGGTGGTGGTGGCAGTGACCTTGGAGAGGCTCCCACACGTGCTGCCCCTGGGGAACCTCGCTCAGGACGGGGCCCACTGAGCTCTGCACCAGGTGGGTCTACCGGGTACTCCCACCCCCAGTCTGGTCTCCAGGTGTTACCTCCCAACAGTGGTCCTCTTAGCCTTAGGTTATTTTCATGTTCCTTTCTGCATTTTCTCCCCTCCCTCGGCCCTGTGGGCTCTTCTCTCCCTGCCCTGCCATCCTCTCAACACCCTCTCTCTGTCCATCTGTGCCACTTTCCTTGACTTTGTGCCCAGCCTTGGGAAGGAAGGCTGTTGTACCTGTTTCAGCTGCCCCAAACCTCCCTTCTCCTGTACTCCACAGGGACCCCCTCAGGTCTCCTGGCATCTGCCTGCCTGCCCTGGCCCTGGCTTCCCAGGACTTTTGGCTGCTTCTGCCGCTGCTTGCCCACTTGGCCCTGGGCCTGCTACAGCTCCAGCTCACCCCTGGAGCAGGGTGCTCTATTGTGTCACTATCTCCCCCACCATTCAACCTGTCCTAACCAGTCTGAGCCTCCCTAGACCCTGCCTCCTCTCCCGGAGGAATGTTAAGCTGCTGTGGGAATTCTGTATGCAGACATACGCTGAGGGAGTGTGTTAAATGGGCAATGGGGCTCCTGACTCCACCTGACCTTACATCCACCTGTTCTCACTACCAGAGATTGTACACGAGGACTTAAAGATAGGGTCTGATGGGGAAAGTGACCAGGCTTCAGCCACGTCCTCAGATGAGGTGCAGTCGCCAGTGAGGGTGCGCATGCGCAACCATCCCCCGCGCAAGATCTCCACTGAGGTGAGTAACCCCCTGCCCAGGAGGTGGTGAGGCTGAATCTGGACAGGTGGAGTTCATGGTCCTGCTATTCCTTCATCTTGTCTTCTAGGACATCAACAAGCGTCTGTCACTACCAGCTGACATCCGGCTGCCTGAGGGCTACCTTGAGAAGCTGACCCTCAATAGTCCCATCTTTGACAAGCCCCTCAGCCGTCGCCTCCGCCGTGTTAGCCTGGTGAGCATTTTCTCTTACTTCTCCTCTTCCTGCCTTGTCCCCTCTCCTGAACCTGCTTCTGCCTCCTTTACCACACAGTCTGAGATTGGCTTTGGAAAACTGGAGACCTACATCAAGCTGGACAAGCTGGGCGAGGTGAGGGACAGCCCAGGAGATCCGTGTTGTGAATGGGGGTCAGTGGGAACTCCCTATAGCCTCAAACTCTTCTTCGTCACCCTCCAGGGTACCTATGCCACCGTCTACAAGGGCAAAAGCAAGCTAACAGACAACCTTGTGGCACTCAAGGAGATCAGACTGGAACATGAAGAGGGGGCACCCTGCACCGCCATCCGGGAAGGTATAGGCCCCAACCCACCTTCCCCAGACTTCTGGGCTTTCTCCATAGTGAGAACAGATGCTAGGGCTTCTGGGACTTCCTTCTGACACTGGGCTTCGTGAGAGAGTGCCCAGGTGGTACTCAGGATAGCCAAGAATCCCTTTCTGTTTGGAGAGGAGGAAGATGAATGATTCTGAGCACCCCTGAAAGTGCCTGCCAATTGATGTGACAGTTTGTAGTTAGAATACCACGTGGAATCAGTTTGAATTGCATAGACATTGAGTGTGCAAACTTAATTTCACATGTAGCTTTAGGCCTGTGTACTGAGGACGGGAGTAAGATGCTTCCTGAAACCAAAAATGGGTCGTGAAAAATCTAGTGTCGCACAGCCTATTGTTGAACTCCTGACTTCTTGCTCCACATCTTTTCTCTGTGTTTCCACTTCTGGAACATGGGGGACATGCCCCTTCCTGGCATCAAGTGGCTTAGTTGGTGACTGTGAGCCACCATCCTAAACTGCTTGGGGCAGGAAGGAATCCCTGGGCTTGTCTCTGTCCGGTCCTCATCTTCTAATCTTCCCCCTCCTACCACCATGCTTCTTGCAGTGTCCCTGCTCAAGGACCTCAAACATGCCAATATCGTCACGCTGCATGACATTATCCACACGGAGAAGTCCCTCACTCTTGTCTTTGAGTACCTGGTAAAGTTGGGTGGCAGTGGTCCCAGGAGGTAGAGGTTGGGGACATGACCAGGAGCCACAGATATGATCTCTTACTTCTCTCTGCTCTTGTCTCCTCAGGACAAGGACCTGAAGCAGTATCTGGATGACTGTGGGAATGTCATCAACATGCACAACGTGAAAGTGGGTGTGGGGCAAGAAGCAGGGGCACCCACTCCACCCCTCAAATTTAGAAAAGAACTTTCCCCATTTGTCTTTTTCGCTGGGAACCCTTGAGGGCATTAAGACTCGATTCTCTGGGCTTAGTGTCTGTGTTTGGGAGGGGGAGGGAGAGCATTGCCCGCTGGGGGTCAGGCTACTGGATGCTCTTTGATCTCTGCTTGCTGTTTCTGGGTTCACAGCTGTTCCTGTTCCAGCTGCTCCGTGGCCTGGCCTACTGCCACCGGCAGAAGGTGCTACACCGAGACCTCAAGCCCCAGAACCTGCTCATCAATGAGAGAGGAGAACTCAAGCTGGCTGACTTTGGTACCCCAGCCTCCCCCTTCTTGGCAGTGACTCCCTCCAGCCTTGCTCTCCCAATCTCCCCCTGTCCCTGCCCCTAGTCTCAGTCCCTTTCAGTGTCTCCAGGCATTGCTTAGGACATGCCCAGTCCCAGCTGTACTCTCCCCCAGACTGCCCAGGACCTCCTCAATTCCAGGTGCCCCTTCTCTCCACCTATCAGGCCTGGCCCGGGCCAAGTCAATTCCAACGAAGACCTACTCCAATGAGGTGGTAACACTGTGGTACCGGCCCCCTGACATCCTGCTTGGGTCCACAGACTACTCAACCCAGATTGACATGTGGTGAGAACAGGTGTTGGTGTTCCAGAAGCCATGTGAAAGGGGGTAGCTTGGTCATAGTCCCCAACCTGCCAGTTGCTTTCCTATTGACTGTGCCTCCCCTCCCCAGGGGTGTGGGCTGCATCTTCTATGAGATGGCCACAGGCAGGCCCCTCTTCCCGGGCTCCACGGTGGAGGAACAGTTGCACTTCATCTTCCGCATCTTGGGTGAGGAGCATGAGCCCTAGGTGAAGTGGGGATGTGCAGGGAGGTCCTATGAGATGCTTAGGGTAACTCATCTTCTTTACCAGGAACCCCAACTGAGGAGACATGGCCAGGCATCCTGTCCAACGAAGAGTTCAAGACATACAATTACCCCAAGTACCGAGCTGAGGCCCTTTTGAGCCATGCGCCCCGGTGAGGCTGGTGGGTGGGCGGGTGTTAAGGGCCAGAGTGCCCAAACTCCACTTAAAGCAAGTTCCCTTCTCCTTGCGGTAGACTTGATACCGATGGGGCTGACCTCCTCACCAAGCTGCTGCAGGTGAGACCATCTTCCTGGGGTCAGCCGTGGGGCTAGGGGCCTAGGTATAGGGAAATGGGGGGCTTCTGGGGCAGGGGCTAGGGTGGGAAGCAAGAGTGGCCTACTCATTGAAGGTATCCTCACACACCCAGTTTGAAGGTCGCAATCGGATCTCCGCAGAGGATGCCATGAAACAGCCATTCTTCTTCAGCCTGGGGGAGCGGATACACAAACTTCCTGACAGTGAGTGCAGCTGGGGAATGGATAGCTGTGGGCAATTCTGGGAATAATAATGAACTGCGTTATAGCTGGGTAGGTCATGTAGGGTTCTGGCTTAGGGGGGTACACTTTTGTGATGTGTTTATTACAAAAATGTTATTTCTTAGCTTTCACTTCTACCTTTTGTGGAAATTTTCAAGCATATGTCAAAGCACGTGCAACATTACTTACTGGTTTTAAAGTAAGCATTTCCTTGTAAAGTAGAGTATATGCCGAGACATTAGCAGATCATAAGTATGTAACAATGAGAGTTCCTTACATAAGTTTTCACAAATGAAGCACTCCATGTCACTGATAACACAGATCAAGAAATAGGATGTGCAGCTCGTGACTATGCAGGGGCTTTTTTCCCTTTCCCCTTTTCCTAATAAGCCTGTCCTTTTAAAATGTTAAAAAACTAAAACAACGAAACTAGATGTGAGAAGCTTCCCAAGGGCTCTCATTTCCTTCGGTTACTCCTACCCCTCCGCAAGGAGTGCTGCTAGTTTGACTTCCAGTAACATAAGTTTTCTGTGCTATACTTTATAGAACTAGAATCATACCGCGTGTCCTCTTTTTATATCTGGCTTTTTGAAACTTCTTAATATGGCTCCTCGAAAACTTGATATATATTAGACCAAATAACATAAATAACATGCTCTCAACTACTCCAACTATAGTCCCTCTGATTGTTTTGAATCAAATCCCAGACATAACCATTCATCTGGAAATAATTTTGGTGTGTATCTCAAATATTTCTTAAACATAACAACATCATTATCATAGCTAAAAAAAATTGTCCCACTTCCCTTCTCTCCCTATTGGATTAATCTAAATCAAATCCCAAACACCATCACCTAGATTTAACAGGTGGTAATTGCAAATCATTGTTCCTCTTGGCAAAATTAATAGTGATTACTTGGTGTCAGTGCAATGTGGTCTAGATTCCCTTTTTACCAGCTGTAGTTGGTTTGTGTGTGGAATGATTTGACAGGTACGAGTCAAACCTCTCAAAAGGCAGCGTTTCTTAATTCCCACAGCGGGGCCAGATGGGAGGAAGTCCTGGTGGCCCCGTGTGTCACTCCCCACTTCGCCCTCTTCCATCCACAGCTACTTCCATATTTGCACTAAAGGAGATCCAGCTACAAAAGGAGGCCAGCCTTCGCTCTTCATCGATGCCTGACTCAGGTAGGTGTGGCCCTTGCCCTCTTCCCTGCCCACCCACCTGCTTGCCCACCAACAGCCATCGCTCTGCTTCCCCCCGCAGGCAGGCCAGCTTTCCGCGTGGTGGACACCGAGTTCTAAGCCACAGACCGAGGCCCCAGCAGGCAGCGGCTGGAGGGATGCCACACCCCTCACAGGGCAACCCCCAACTGAATCCTCCCTGCTTGCTGCCTGCCTGACTCATGTCTGTCTGCCCACATACATGTCCCTTGCTCTCTGTTCAAACACCCACCCATTGACCTGTCAACCCACCCGTTGGCCTGTCTGCTGGGTGCTAACAAAGCTCTCATCGCTCCTCGCCTGGTCTGTCTGTCTGTCTATTTCTTTCTTTCTGTTTTGGTAGTTGCCAGTGGACAGCATGGCCGTGCCAGCCTCCCACACTAAGGCCAGGCCTGTACCCTCCTCCTCATACCCTCCCCCAGGACCGCTACCCCACGGCCAGCCAGGGGTCTGGAGCTAGCCCAGGCTGGGGATCTCTGCTCAGACCAGATGTGGCAATGCCTTGGGTCTGAGGCTTCCCCCATCTACTTTCCTGCCTGCCCCACCCACCTCATTGTTGTCTGGGCCTTTTTTCATTTCAGTCACTCTTGTTTTTTAATTATTTTAAATGAGGTTTTCATTTTTTTAATGCAATATCTCTCTATACAGTCTGGCTGGGCTCCACCCCCTACATGTGGCCCTCCCACAGTATTTTGTGCAATGAAGCCCCGCTCCCAGTCTTTCCATGCTGGGGACAAAGCCCCTATTTGGAATCCTGACCATCCTCAGACCCTGGGGTCGGCTAAGGGAAAGCATGCCTCAGCTACCTGTCTTCCTACCCCTGCCTGCCATCCCCAGCTGCAGGGGGACCTGGGGGACCACTGGAGACTCTGGGAGATGAATAAGGTGGGGCACCCCCACTCTTTCTCCCCTGCAGTCCCGTAGCTGGGGCCTCCTTCCTTCTCAGGGTCTCCCTAGCCCAGCCCTCATGCCCCCATCCCATTGGTGCTGTTGAGTAGGGGCCCTGCCAGAAACTGACCGACTCAGTGAGGAGCCAGAGTGTGTGTATGTACACAGACAGGGACAGAAAGGTGTGTGGAGGGTAGAGCAGCCATTACTCCCTAATCCCTGGGGAGGGTGAGGCAGGGCAGGATAGTCTTGGGGGTCAATCTGCAGATGGGTGGTTACCTCCCCTTCCTCCACTCCAAACCCTGGGGCCCTCAAATGGGGTGGGAGGGCAGGGGTGGGGGCCCTCCTAGTGAGGTTTGGGGGTTTGGGTTCCTGAATGCACCATAATCGCTGTATGAAATATTAAAAAGTCTAAAGTGAAAAACCTGATTGCATATCCCTATAGGGGTGGTGGAGGGCTTGACTTGGTGAGTACTGGGACCCTGGAGAGTTAATACCTGAAGTAGAGCACTGGGAGTGGACCACAGTGACATCACAACTATGAAAAAGCCAATGGGGAATGGCTTAGGTGCAGAGTGCCTAAGTTGAAGCAGGTAGGACAGGCTGAAAAGAGGATGAGCTATGCATCAGAAAGGAGGTAGATTTGCCTAAGAATATGAAGCAGCCAGTAAGAGGGTAGAAACAGGTGGGTGTGATGCTGTTTAAAGCACTTGAAGGCCCACTACAACCATGTGTGTCTGCAGAACCATGAGGAGGAAGTAATGGGAAACCATGGGCACGAGTGAGATGACCCTGGGAAGAATGCAATGGTTTGTGAGAGTCGGAAGGCAAATCACACAACCTGGGTCTTGCCCTCAGGTGTGAGGATAGTCAAGGCTTTGATTTCCTGTGTCCTGAGCCTTCCAGCTCCAATATACTATCTTGGGCAAAGCTGAGGATTGACTTATAAGTAGACAAAGTGGGGTGGGCCGGGTCGGGCCAGGCAAATGCTGCAGATGGTTCATCTGGGCTGAGAGGGTAACTGTCTGCCATGTGTCAGGCCTAACTTGAATGCCACTTTGGGGACCTTTGTGTGAAAGTCTGCTTGCTCTCTGAGTTTATACAACTGAATTGTGACTCCATATCTGCCAGGTCTTGGGTGTGGGCTGCAGTGACAGTAATGAGACAACCCCTGTCTTATAGAGAGGTTAATTTAACAGGTGAATAAGGAGATTTTACGTATGGGGGTGTGTGTGGGGTAGTTTGAAATTATGTAGGAAGACTCCAGTCACAGGGATCTGTGCATGGGCTTAACTAGTATGGAAAGGCAAGGTGTGTTCTTGCTTGTGGGACTGGGTGGTGGCAGTGAAGGAAGTCAGTGAAGTAATGAGCCTCTCTTCGGATGTTTGTGGGAGTGTCTGGTGGAGACCGCCAATAGGTAGATGCAAGGAGCTGGAGGGATCAACAGGTAGGGCTGGGAGAACTACTGAAGAAAAGGAGGGCACAGATGAGAGCAATGGTTCTCAGCCAGAAAGAGAATCCCCACCCCCAGGGGACATTTGGCAATGAGTGGAAACACTTGGCTGTCCAACTCTGGTCTCTAAGCAGCATCCTACAGTCCTCTCCCACAATAATAAAAAAAAAAAACACATCAATAGTGCTTAGGTTGAGAAACCTTGTCCTAATGCACTGGTTTTCAAAACTGGCCTCGGGGTCACTTTATATTAAAAAAGAACTGACGGCATACAAAGAGCTTTTGCCTCTGGAAAGTTGCACTACATTTGCTAGAGAAAAAAAAAGCAGTACACTTGGAAGAGACAATGAGTGTCATGAAATGGTTTTGAATTTGAAGTTCCTGAGGGTTTTTTGAACCCCCAGTTTTAGGAATCTCTGGCCTGGTGTTTAACGGCACAGCTCTGGGAAAGGAATTCCTGAGTTCAAACCAGCTCAGCCACTTACTAGCTGGAGGCAAAGTGAGGCTTGCCCCTTTGCTGTCCATGGACGACAGTGACACCTGCTGCCTTGGGCTACTATTACTGCAATAAAGCACTTAGAAAACAAGGCTGCAACTTAAACGGTGCTGGAATCAACATACACAGGGCTTGGGGCTGATTTGCCTTCAACACTTGCGGAAAATACACCTAGTTCAGGGAAGGAGGCGGCCAGCCCACCTGGGCGGCACTCGAGACCGCGAACTCTTCTGTAGTGGGTTTTGTTGGGTGAGGAGTAGTGCGACGATGGGCACTCTGGTCAGGCTAACAAATACCACTCCCTGGGGAAGGGGCCCACAGTCCCCTGCTGCACCAGGGACCGAGAGGACCCAGAACCTTTGTGTGTTCCAGTGCGCCCCCTAACGTGTCTTCGTTCGCCACGGAGTCCGGCCTCCAACCTTCCACACGATTATTTGCCCCGTCTCAACATGGCGCTAGAGCCCCAGAGCACCTTTTGCCTTTCTTGGCACCCAACCGAAGCTCTACCCTGCCTATTGGTTGCAACCACCGTCGCCCACGGTCTGCTGTCCACCTAGTGCTCGGACGCGCCCAAGCATGGGGGTCTACTTTCGAGGCGGCAGTAGGCGCCAGCTGTTTGGGGGGCTCTGCTTCCGTTTCCGGGACCAGAATCCGGAAGTAGCAGTCGAGGGGCCTCTTCCTATCTCCCGCGGCGGTGGCTGTGAGAGGAGGGCGAGCAGCGGTGGCGGCGGTCGCAGCTAGTCCCGCGGCGGCCGCAGCCATGGCCGACGACCCAGCGCCACAGCGCAAAGCAATGCCAGGCCTGGAGAACCAGCGGCGCCAGATTGAGAACCCCGAAAATGGGCGAGAGCGTCCGCTGAGGGCCGGTGAGAGCTGGTGAGGCAGGGCTGCGAGCAGCTCCTCGGCTGAGGGAGCAGTGGGGGCGGAGGCGACTGTGGGGAACGTGGCGGCAGAGACCCGCCGGACAACTGCTTTGGGGGCGGAGGAGTGGCCTGTGGGGCCGAGGAGAGGGGCGGGGAAGTGCTGGTGAGCGGTCCCGCCTCTTTCCCAGAGGCGGGACCTGTGCGTTGGAGCCAGTCGCCTGAGAACGAGGTAGGGTTTTTTGTGGAGTGATAGGACGCGGCGCTTGAGAAGAAACTGCCTTGGGGTGGGGCCGGGCCTGCGAGGTGGAACTTGGAACTTGGGATGGAGGCGGTGTCTGCAGCGCCGCGGCGCGGGGCCTGGGGGCGTGGTCTGCACCGTGTGAGCAAGCGTCTGGGGCGGGAACGGACCTCGTGTGCTCCGCGGCGCCTGCAAACTGGGCACGGCTGATGACGTCGGGCCGAAGCGCGGAATCCGAGCCTGGCGGCTGTGGGCGGGGTCGGGGGCGGGGGTCAGTCGGTGCCGGCTAGTGCCGGCGTGGTGGGAGGAGCTGGCGCCTGGGAACGAGGCTTGTGACGTAGGCCCGGGGCGTGTCCTGAGGCCGGGGAAAGACTGCAGAGGGGAGGTGGTGCCGGTGAATCAGAAAATGGCGCCTGCGAGTGAGCAAAGTTTGTGACGCGGCGAGGTTTTTGCCTCTGTCCGAGGCCTTCCCAGGACGGGAGAAAGTGCAGGTGATTGGAGCGGGAGGGGACTTCGATGTTACATTTGCTTTCTGTTTAGTACTGTTTTTGTTTTTGTAATCAGGAAAAAAATAGCCATTTTTGAAATGTCAATGAGTACCTCGATAAATCCGCTTGTTTTACTTGATTTCTTTGCTAACCAGTGCTTGAATTGTGCTGTTGTGGGTTCATAGTATTTCTCGCCGAGTTGCATCTTGTTTTGCAAATTGTGAAATATTTGAGACTTAAAAGCTTATATAACAAATGTTTGCGTAGCCCAGATTGATGGACATTCTATTAAAATAAACGGCCTGTGCTCTTCAAAATTTGAAGGTCGTGAAAGACAAAGGATGAAGAACTGTTCCAGATTGAAGGAATTAATGGGATCTAAGGAGTCATGATAACTAAATGCAGTGTGTGATCCTGGATTGGATCCTGGAGCCAAAAAATGAAATAAATTATTTTAAAATAAGGTTTTTTTCTCATAAAAAAATTCTTTTACTGTAAAAAATATTAGTGGTACAGTTGGTGAAATTAGACCAAGGTCTGTAGAGTAGTTAATAGTACTGTTTATTTCTTGCTTTGGATAATTGTATTGTGGATATGAAAGAGTGAAAGAGAAGAGCTTTTTTTTTTAGGAAATCCGTACTGGAATATTTAAGGGTAAAAAACCATCGTGTAAGCTTCTAACGCCCAAGGGTTGAAAAGATAGCATATAAAAAGAGTATTTAAAGAAACAACAAACAAGTACATGGGTGAAATGTTAAAATTTGCGAATCTGAATGAAGGGCATACAATTTTTCTGAGTATTTCAAAGTAAAAACGTTTCAAGGTAATAAAATTTGTCATCACCAGGTTAAGATTCAGAACATTACCTTAAGAAATCCTTTTGTGCTCCTCCCAGATGAAAACTCTCCCTCCCTGCACCACGGGAAATAGTCATTATCCTGGATTTTTTGTTCTGTTGATGTTCTTCCACCACTGTATGCATCCCTAAGTAGTATTTGTGTTCTGAGCCTTTAGTTTATGGACGATACACATGCAATCCTACTACACGCATACAATAGGCATACCACATCCTACCAGATGGTACTTGGTGTCCACTTAGTGATGTCACTGAGAACGTTAGCCCTGATCCCTGGTTTGAGGTAGTACCCGCCTGGTTGCTCTACTGTGCAGGTAGCGATTTTTCTTTTCAGACACAGTTACTATTTAAAAAGTAATTTCTGTCCATCCATTCTACAAAACGTTTTAACGGCTCTTTATCTCTTGCTATGTAAATGTAAAAATTCTTAGAGTGACTTGTGAGGCTTTACAACTGGGAGGCTGGTCTCCGGGCTCTGATTTCTTCTCGGATCTCTCCTCTCCCTCACGCTCCTCATCTGGTCATTTTGGGACTCTTGCTGTTGCTCAGATAAATCAAGCTTGCTCACACCTTCGTAAGTACATTTACCAGGGAGACACGGGAATTTTACAGAGCTCTTAATGGTACTAATGAAATACATATTCCCGTTACTGAAAAGACGAAGTCGAGATTCGTCAAATTGGGTATAGGAAACCGAGCAGTGTCTATATATGTATATAAAACATTATGTTGTAGCTTTCCTGAGAATAAACAGCAATAATAATTGTTGTACATTTTTATAGTGCTTTAGGTGGAGGTGTTCAGGCCACCTTGGGGCTTTGGTTCCTACCCCATCCTGCCTTAATAGCCTTCTCAGTGCCTTTAAAATTACTCCACTGGTACAGGTTTCCTTTGGGAGAGGGTGTTCAAAATGTTTTTGAAACTAGATCGAGGGTGTGGTTTGCACAATATTGTGAATGTACTAAATGTCATTGAATTGTTCTCCTTAAAATGGTTCATTTTATGTTTATGTGAATAAAAAATTATGTTC